GTGCACGTGTGTATAATTACACAGGGAGAGAGTGTGTTTTTTATGTTTAGGGATGACGTGTGTGTATTTCTGTTTGTGTGTGATGAGTGAGTGAGTGAGTAGGTGGGTATGATTTGTGTGTGAAAGGGGGAGAAGAGGTTGAAATGACACGTACACTTGGGAAGGACTTGTATTCTCAATGGTAGCATTACTTTATCCCCACAGTCTTCACTGATTACTCCAATATCTGCAGGGAGAGTGTGTGCATTTGTAAAAGACCGTGTGTGAGTATTTGAGTGTGAAACAAAGCATGAGTATGTTTGTGTGTGTTGTGCACGTGTGTATAATTACACAGGGAGAGAGTGTGTTTTTTATGTTTAGAGATGACGTGTGTGTATTTCTGTTTGTGTGTGAGTGAGTGAGTGAGTGAGTAGGTGGGTATGATTTGTGTGTGAAAGGGGGAGAGAGGTTGAAATGACACGTACACTTGGGAAGGACTTGTATTCTCAATGGTAGCATTACTTTATCCCCACAGTCTTCACTGATTACTCCAATATCTGCAGGGAGAGTGTGTGCATTTGTAAAAGACCGTGTGTGAGTATTTGAGTGTGAAACAAAGCATGAGTATGTTTGTGTGTGTTGTGCACGTGTGTATAATTACACAGGGAGAGAGTGTGTTTTTTTATGTTTAGAGATGACGTGTGTGTATTTCTGTTTGTGTGTGATGAGTGAGTGAGTGAGTGAGTAGGTGGGTATGATTTGTGTGTGAAAGGGGGAGAGAGGTTGAAATGACACGTACACTTGGGAAGGACTTGTATTCTCAATGGTAGCATTACTTTATCCCCACAGTCTTCACTGATTACTCCAATATCTGCAGGGAGAGTGTGTGCATTTGTAAAAGACCGTGTGTGAGTATTTGAGTGTGAAACAAAGCATGAGTATGTTTGTGTGTGTTGTGCACGTGTGTATAATTACACAGGGAGAGAGTGTGTTTTTTATGTTTAGAGATGACGTGTGTGTATTTCTGTTTGTGTGTGATGAGTGAGTGAGTGAGTAGGTGGGTATGATTTGTGTGTGAAAGGGGGAGAGAGGTTGAAATGACACGTACACTTGGGAAGGACTTGTATTCTCAATGGTAGCATTACTTTATCCCCACAGTCTTCACTGATTACTCCAATATCTGCAGGGAGAGTGTGTGCATTTGTAAAAGACCGTGTGTGAGTATTTGAGTGTGAAACAAAGCATGAGTATGTTTGTGTGTGTTGTGCACGTGTGTATAATTACACAGGGAGAGAGTGTGTTTTTTTATGTTTAGAGATGACGTGTGTGTATTTCTGTTTGTGTGTGATGAGTGAGTGAGTGAGTAGGTGGGTATGATTTGTGTGTGAAAGGGGGAGAGAGGTTGAAATGACACGTACACTTGGGAAGGACTTGTATTCTCAATGGTAGCATTACTTTATCCCCACAGTCTTCACTGATTACTCCAATATCTGCAGGGAGAGTGTGTGCATTTGTAAAAGACCGTGTGTGAGTATTTGAGTGTGAAACAAAGCATGAGTATGTTTGTGTGTGTTGTGCACGTGTGTATAATTACACAGGGAGAGAGTGTGTTTTTTATGTTTAGAGATGACGTGTGTGTATTTCTGTTTGTGTGTGATGAGTGAGTGAGTGAGTAGGTGGGTATGATTTGTGTGTGAAAGGGGGAGAGAGGTTGAAATGACACGTACACTTGGGAAGGACTTGTATTCTCAATGGTAGCATTACTTTATCCCCACAGTCTTCACTGATTACTCCAATATCTGCAGGGAGAGTGTGTGCATTTGTAAAAGACCGTGTGTGAGTATTTGAGTGTGAAACAAAGCATGAGTATGTTTGTGTGTGTTGTGCACGTGTGTATAATTACACAGGGAGAGAGTGTGTTTTTTATGTTTAGAGATGACGTGTGTGTATTTCTGTTTGTGTGTGATGAGTGAGTGAGTGAGTGAGTAGGTGGGTATGATTTGTGTGTGAAAGGGGGAGAGAGGTTGAAATGACACGTACACTTGGGAAGGACTTGTATTCTCAATGGTAGCATTACTTTATCCCCACAGTCTTCACTGATTACTCCAATATCTGCAGGGAGAGTGTGTGCATTTGTAAAAGACCGTGTGTGAGTATTTGAGTGTGAAACAAAGCATGAGTATGTTTGTGTGTGTTGTGCACGTGTGTATAATTACACAGGGAGAGAGTGTGTTTTTTATGTTTAGAGATGACGTGTGTGTATTTCTGTTTGTGTGTGATGAGTGAGTGAGTGAGTAGGTGGGTATGATTTGTGTGTGAAAGGGGGAGAGAGAGGTTGAAATGACACGTACACTTGGGAAGGACTTGTATTCTCAATGGTAGCATTACTTTATCCCCACAGTCTTCACTGATTACTCCAATATCTGCAGGGAGAGTGTGTGCATTTGTAAAAGACCGTGTGTGAGTATTTGAGTGTGAAACAAAGCATGAGTATGTTTGTGTGTGTTGTGCACGTGTGTATAATTACACAGGGAGAGAGTGTGTTTTTTATGTTTAGAGATGACGTGTGTGTATTTCTGTTTGTGTGTGATGAGTGAGTGAGTGAGTGAGTGAGTAGGTGGGTATGATTTGTGTGTGAAAGGGGGAGAGAGGTTGAAATGACACGTAACACTTGGGAAGGACTTGTATTCTCAATGGTAGCATTACTTTATCCCCACAGTCTTCACTGATTACCCACCACTCTTTTATGATGAAAAGAACTGCAGGAGCAAGTCAGATTACAAGTTGTACTTGTATCACTCTGATACTGAAACACACTATGACCTTGTCATACCTGGCACACTACATATTTGAGCTTGCATGTGTCATAATAGATTACACATGACACAGTGGTATTAGCGATCAGTGTGAGGCCGCCTTATTAGGCCAGAGTCAGTGCTGTATATTGAGGTCCAAAGGGCCGAGCGGTCTGTTGAGGCTGCCAGACACAGCAGTTTATTTAGTGGCTAAAACATTTTTGGGTGAGCATATTTCCCGGCGTCCACGTCGCCTCACCTGGGAGAGAATAATTATTCAATTCTCTGCTAACGGGGAAATTGATTACTAGAAAGGTGTAATGCTGTTTATTTCTGCAGCATCTCCCTTTCTATCCAGTGGGGCCAGCTGAAGAGTCCTCCCACTATAAACATAATGGACGAAAACCATCTGTGGAGGAAGCCTTCCACCGATGGTTCCTGGCTCCACAACATCATGTTTCTCTGTCTCGTGTGATTGTAACTTCAGTGAGGAACCACACCATATCTCGAAAAGACAATATTATTACAAAACTAGGCAGCTCCTGCCAGGAGCAATGTCCTCTTTCAAGAAGTGTGTGTGATATACAAACTCGGTGACAGTACGTCATTTTCTCTTACCATATGTCTAGCCTAATACTCTGTTACATTGATCAGGGTATGAAATTGTAGAACCACGTATAATATATACTGCATACCACCAGGCTGTACAGAGAATGTGGCATTTGTTGCTAGCTGTTATGTGCTAGCCTAACAGAACGGTTCGTGGCAAGGGACCGCGGCCCAACACACAACAACTAACCGAACGCTTCACACTCAATCATCTGCACACAGACGGTAGAGACATACACTTATATATGCACAGGAAGTAAACAATTGACTACGTATGTGACATGACCAACAATGAATAATGCAACGATAAAGAGTTCAGGTTACCACACTAGCCTACATTAGAGGAGGAAGTTTCCAGTGTTGGTAGAGCATGGCTGATGCGCCAAAAAGAAAAGCATACTTTGCCACAGTTGCTACTAGCTACATCTATACATCAAGGACAGGAAGCATGACTGGTGACAGAGACAGAGTGACATGCAATAAAGGATGTTGAAGAGGAGTAGGTGGAACCAAAAGGCGGGCATTGCATAGGTGGCCCTTAGTGATAGTACAACAGAGTGTGGGCAGAAAGGATATGAGAGGAACACAGTGGAATAACTCAAAAGTTGAAATCAGACTAACATCTGAGCCAGTTATTCAGTAAGGTGAAGGACTTAGCAGACATACATTGAAATGAGGATGTACAGCAGAGGAACATTATAATTAGTGTTTGAGAGAGAGTGTGTGTGTGTGTGTGTGTGTACATTCTATGTTATAGAGATTTGTCACAGAGAAGGGTGAATGAGTGAGTTACAGTGAGGTAGTGAGCTAACTACGTTGTGTGAGCTAGCAAACGTGGTAGGTGTGCTGATAGTCCGAGCATCGCCCACTCAGCGCGCACTGATACTCAGGTGAAGACAGACAAGCAGATTGGTTTGCTCGGCCAGGTGTACAGCAAATGTCGTATACCAGACGGCGCCTAGGCGAGCGGCATACGCGCATGCGCGTATATACATAGACGGCGTACGTATTTATACATTTTTGTGAAAGGGTTCAACCGAACGGACCCTGTACGCCGTCAACTCGCTGAGGCAGTAGCCAGGAAATTTCCTGCACATTACTATTTTTTTGCCAATTACTTCGGCACTTAGGCTTCTTATTTTCATTTTTGTTGAGAGCATGTTTCACAAGGCCTCTCTCTCTCTCCCTGTGCTTGCTGAACTCTCTCTTGCTTACTATGTCAACCCACTGACAGCCTTTTCAGATCCCATTCCCACCTTGTCATGCACTTTGCATATAAGATATAATGAGTATATATGAGTAATGATAATAGGTAAGTAATGTAAAATTGATTATGTTGGTGCAAGTCCGAGTTGGAGGTGGAGTGCCTGCATAGTAAAGGTATCATTTGGGTTGAAGTAAATGCCACACACACACACACCATACCCACTAGATGATTCTCCCTCTTTGGGGGGAGGGGAGGGAGAGCGGGGGTTGGGAGTTGGAGTAGCACCTGCATAGTAAAGGTTTTATCATTTGTTTTGAAGTAAATATGACATAGCTACCTGTGATTTTCATTGTTCTCAGGGCTTCTTCAAGACCCACCAACTCCCAACCTTGCATTTGTTTCGCAATTTCCCTCGCCCTCTCCATCTCACCGTCCCTCAAGCACCTCTCCAGTTCCTGCATGAGTAGAATTATTGATAAAACCTTGTTACTAACATCCTTCAGTAGCAATTACTTCTCTTCTTCTTCTCCTTTGTCTTTGTTTTCTCTTCCTCTGGTTCTCCTCTTCTCTGTCTTTTCTCACAAAGTAGTCCATGAGATAACCTGTAAGTTATGCTCAAAATAATTGCTTGGTAGCTATAGCGAAACCTTCACGCCTTTCCCAACCCCCATGACTGAGCACGTAATATCCAGTGGTAAACGACTCTCAAGCGTCACCCTTCGCGGAAGGACTGGAGTCGCATTGAGATCGAAGCACACCGCTGAGTTCGCTGTCCGTAGTCAAAGCGCTGTGCACCGAACTCGGCTTTACAAAACCGTATGCTTCGCTAGTCTCTACGAACTACGTACATACACGCAACTTCAGTCCTTCCGCAAAATGGTGACGCTTGCGAGCACCGTCGCATGTGGGGTCGGAATATAGCCGGCCGACGGCCAACAGCGTCGCAAAAAAGTCTATAGCAAAGCAATAGCTACTCACCCACTCCGTTTCTTGTGTGTCTGTCGTTGGATCTGCCGTTTCCTCTTCCTCTTCCTCCTCTCCATCCTCCTCCACCTCTAGCCGCTCCTGTTGCCATGGCCGCTGGATTTCCTGATGAGGGCTAGTCCTCTGGCCTTCCTTTTATACTCTTCCATGCTACAACAAGGTGCAGCGGATGCTGATCATGGTGTGAACATTATTATAACCATGGTGCTAATACTATGATGAGCTGTGGGTGAATGAGACAGATGCTTCCATCCCTCACTCCCACCATCAGCACAAAGGAGGAGCCATACCATAATCACAAAGACAGTATTATAGATTTATCTGAGTGCATGTCATCAGCAAAACTTTCGTTTAGAGCCAGTTTCCATGCTGACTTCAGAAAGGCTGTAGGTGAGTGGATGCTCTGTAAAGACCATCCACCACAACTGGCTCAGTATTATTGCTCCATTCGATGCTGTCTCTGACTCAGATGGCCAGCTAGCTATCCAGAAATACATTGACCAAGCACGCATGTCACTAGATGGGTGGGGTGGAGACAAAGAGATACGTGCCTTTGCCACCATGTTCCAGGTTGACATTTGTGTGTCAAACAACTCCCGTGGAGGGAGAAGGTGGAATTATTACCCACCACTCTTTTATGATGAAAAGAACTGCAGGAGGAAGTTGATAAGAAAAAAAGGCAACTCATAAGCCTTTTATACTCTTCCATGCTACAACACGTGCAGCGGATGCTGATCATGGTGTGAACATTATTATAACCATGGTGCTAATACTATGATGAGCTGTGGGTCAATGAGAGACAGATGCTTCCTTCCCTCACTCACACCAGTTTGGATGATGATCAGGTGTGAACATTATTATAACCATGGTGCTAATACTATGATGAGCTGTGGGTGAATGAGACAGATGCTTCCATCCCTCACTCCCACCATCAGCACAAAGGAGGAACCATAGCTATCTTTGACACCTCATTCTACCATAATCACAAAGACAGTATTATAGATTTATCTGAGTGCATGTCATCGGCTCTCTCTTTTATGATGAAAAGAACTGCAGGAGGAAGTCGATAAGAAAAAAAGGCAACTCATAAGCTTGTCTCAGCTCTTATGCATGTAATTACACCTGGAGTGTTGTGTAATGGAAAAGGGTGGTCGCTCCAGACCCACCTGCAGAACAGTAGGTTTGTGGTTGGCTTCGGAAAGAAAACTGACACGCTTCAGCTGTAATACATACCATGAAATGAAGTATAGCTAATAGCTAAAGACCAGTTCCTCCCCAGGTGTTGAATGTGCCGTGCAGAAACAGGGATAAACCACCCAAACGGGCAGTAGAACAGAGACAGAGAGAGAGAGAGAGAGAGAGAGAGAGAGAGATGTACATCTCTGCACAAAAGGCAAGAAGGTCCCACAGATTACGCTGCACCCCACTTGACTTGCAATGATATCAGACATCTTGGAGATAGATAGCAAGGGTTGCTGCAGAAATCTTCGTGGGCGCAGGCTTGTGTGTATATACAATATGTTGTTCTTCAGATCAGTTCTCTCTGGAGTTGGCTGCTCACACATCAGGACATTCTTCATCAACATACCATATTTCCCCCAGACCAGTGCACAACACATTTTACACAATACTAAAGCCCAACAACACCATTCACCACCCCAACTGGGTGAGACAGCAGCTTATGCCCAAGAGTGTTGCAGTTTCTGTTATACACCTTGACGTAGTAGCTGTGACTGAGAGCTGTTGCAGAGCCATTTTGCGTGAGGCTCAAAAGGGGGTGGGGCTCCCGCGCTATACACCCCCACACCCGCCCGCCGGCCACACATGCACACGCAGGCAGGTAAATACGCCGCAGAAGATTCTGGAGCAGAGGTATGTTAGGCGCTCGATGCGATGCTCTTTTTACTGAGTTTTTTTTACTGCAGATGTCCTTCTGCTGCTGTTGTGCAAAAAGTAAATCATTTACAATTCTATTACCTAATACATTGACCTGGTTTATTCAGAAAGAGAAAGAACAGAACCACCACCAACGCCGCGGACGGTGACGTTCGCCAAAATAGTAAATATGCTCTCTCTTGCTTACTATGTCAACCCACTGACAGCCTTTTCAGATCCCATTCCCACCTTGTCATGCACTTTGCAATATGCACGCAATAACTGTTGGAATTATAGTATTTTGCTCTACAGGCGGAGCTGTGGGAGCTGCCACCAACCCCCCTTCCTCCTCCTCTACCCAAGCTCCGAGGTTTGCATTATACTTTATTGATGTTTGTTCACTGGTCCCCTACCATCTTTGCACTTTTTGATTTCTACAGATTTCCAAGTGCTGACGACATATTTTACCCCCACTCCCCCCCTAACCGACCCCTTCCTCCCCCACAGTGACAAAAAGGTTTGATTTGTGCATACAACTTTGTTCACTTATACACTATATGTTTTTTCTGTTCTGCAGTGTTTTGACTAGGGACTATAAACTTTATAACAATAATTATAATAATAAGTATACTGATAATGATGTTCCATTAGCCTATAGTAAGCATAGCTGTAGTAAGCCATACTTGGCTAGTAACACTGACAACTAATCAAAGGCCTTTGGACAATCTCTTCTCAAAGTGTTGAATTTTGAGTTGCTGGTTATCTGGCCGCTTTGTAAACTGTCTCCACCTCAGAGTGCACCCAGATAACTGTAATGGTCACTGGTCATTGTGGGGCACCTCCAAGTAATCCTAGCCAGCACAAACGCACCCAAAAATGTTCAAACAGGATATGTGTGAAGTGAAAGATAAAGGTGGAGAAGACCAGGTGACCAGACAAGCCCATACTCTCGCTCAGTGTGCACAATTATGATGACGGACAGTACCAATATATTACTTCACGCGAAGAAATTTCAAAATTATACAATAATAGTTTTAGAAAAAAGTGAATCATGTCGGAATGTGGTTTGGAGATTCAATTATAATATTGTAGATACAAGTGAATAATTACACCTCTATTGTGTGTCGGAAAAATCAGTCAAAATAGGAAAGGGACGGATGTGTCGGGAGCCAAACTGTTATTATATAGCATTATATGGGCCACGAAGGGAAGCTGTCCAGGTGATGGAGTCGAGTCAACGCTGCGGAAGGTTCATGAGAGAGACTGTTCGGAGGAGCGGAGAAGGGAGGAGGAGGGAGGCACGAAGGAGAGATCGGGGAGACCGGGCGGACGACGTGGTAGGCAGCAGAAGTTCCCGGAGGGTACGTGAAGGAGCCAGCAACGGGTAAGGGCGGGGCTGACCAAGGGGACGGCCCCACTGCTGCAGCGACCGGCGGCATGGAACTGTCGCTACCACTGCCGGCAGCACTCCCTGGAGGTAGCTGAGGACGGTGGTGGCACGTCTTCTCCCCCATGTGTGTCCTGAAGTGTCGCTGTATTTCGTCCGAGCGAGTGAACCGCTTGCAACAGCCGAGCCAGTGACAGATATACAGTCGCTCACCCTTGTGCCAGAGGATGTGTGTGTGAAGTTGGGTCATCCTTCCGTACACCATGGAGCAGTTGGGATAGTGGCACACGTGCTGTTTCTTTCTTCGAGAGCCGTCCGGGTTAGTGGCCTTGGAGTTGGCGCCACTGGCACAGTTGGGGCAGGTGCACCAAAAACGTCTGGGGCGCCTCTGCTGAGCAGGAAGGGCTCCCTCGAAGAAGTCAGTTCCAGTAGGAGCATGTACTGTGGTCCCCCCACCTCCACTGGGACACGAAGGGAAGCTGTCCAGGTGATGGAGTAATGGAGTCAACGCTGCGGAAGGTTCATGAGAGAGACTGTTCGGAGGAGCGGAGAAGGGAGGAGGAGGGAGGCACGAAGGAGAGATCGGGGAGAGCGGGCGGACGACGCGGTAGGCAGCAGAAGTTCCCGGAGGGTACGTGAAGGAGCCAGCAACGGGTAAGGGCGGGGCTGACCAAGGGGACGGCCCCACTGCTGCAGCGACCGGCGGCATGGAACTGTCGCTACCACTGCCGGCAGCACTCCCGGGAGGTAGCTGAGGATGGTGCTGGGACGTCGGCCACCACTGTTGCGCCGCCATTTGTTGCGCAGTGGGACTCGCGGCATTGTAGGACTGATACTGCGAGGACGGAGGATTCGCGTACACGACAGCCGTACCGCGCGAACCAGGCTGGGTACTGTAAATCTCAGCGTACTGAAGATCGCTGAGACTCCCCGCCGAAGTCGTCAACTCTAGGTGCTGGGTACCCTCCGCAGGTTCAAACGTCGCCGCGTCCTTCAAGCCGACGATGGCATAGTCGCCGTGCTTCTGGCACAGGCCGTCGTGCCGTTGCTGCTGCATACTGCACACCGAGGATAGCTAGCAGCTCCAGAGAAGTCGTGCCATTGTGCTGTAAGACAGAGGGAAAAGCATCAGTTTGCGACACAGCTTTGACAGCAGCCTGATTACACGGCGACAGGGTAATCATTACTACAAGCATGTAGAGATAGCTAGTTTTTTAGAATGTCTGGCTCACCACGTCCTCAGTGTATCTCTCCAGGTAGTGCAGAAGTTGGATTTTGCGCCTTTCGCTGTGGGTGTCCCTAAAAAAATAATACGCGTGGGCGGGCGCGGGGCGCGTGCAGGTCAGGCGCGTGGATGACAGTCATACAAAAGAACATTACAAAAATGTTTTATACATTATAATTATTTTGTCACATTCATATTTTACAAGTATGCGATGATGCCGCGACAATTGTGTGATGAGTGAGTGAGTGAGTGAGTCAGTGAGTGAGTAGGTGGGTATGATTCTCAATGGTAGCATTGCTTTATCCCCACAGTCTTCACTGATTACTCCAATATCTGCAGGGAGAGTGTGTGCATTTGTAAGAGACCCATGTATTCTCTTGCTTACTACGTCAACCCACTGACAGCCTTTTCAGATCCCATTCCCACCTTGTCATGCACTTTGCAATATGCACGCAATAACTGTTGGAATTATATAATAGTATTTTACTCTACAGGCGGAGCTGTGGGAGCTGCCACCAACCCCCCTTCCTCCTCCTCTACCCAAGCTCCGAGGTTTGCATTATACTTTATTGATGTTTGTTCACTGGTCCCCTACCATCTTTGCACATTTTGATTTCTACAGATTTCGAAGTGCCGATCAATTTTTCTCCCACTCCCCAGTAGAAGTAGTCTTCGACCCCTTCCTCCCCCACATCCCCCACAGTGACAAAAAGGTTTGATTTGTGCATGCAACTTTGTTCACTTATACACTATATGCTTTTTTCTGTTCTGCAGTGGACTAAACTTCATACTGATGATGATGTTACCCCAGTAGCCTTTAGTAAGCATGTAGCCATACTTCTCAGTGCTGAGTCACTCCCCTACAATCAACACCTTCCTGCATTGTGTTGGAGACACCAGACATATTCTCTCTCTCTGTGCACTTGTTTGTTATCAGTGGCCATGCATAGACATGCCTGCATGAAAATTTTACAGCCATAGCCAGTTAGAAATGGACTGCTTCAATTTCTCACAGCCTCTTGGCTCCTCCCTTATGCCTAAATATTGCGCCAGTCACAATACATTATGTATAGAAGCTACATTATGTACCTTAGCTACATTACTATAACTACATGCTATAGAGGAGCTCCTCTAAAGGTGTGGAATGCTTACCCAAACAGTAGTCTTCTGGTGTGTCCTAGTGTGTATATACATTTATCTGCTCAAACTAATCTGTACACTCCCTGAGCAAATTTGCTGAAGGAGGTGGGGCTCGGCAATGTTTACTGTGTGCATGTATTGTGTGAGTGCACTTGTATGCCGGCATACATGCACGTGAATGTGAATCAGCTGATTGCTCCGAGCTCATTCATGTACACTTGTAGCATGCAAAGTAATCTGTAAATCCTGTTGGCCGCAAGGGGAAGGGGCAAGGGAGGTAGAGGGGATGAGACAGAGCTCCTAAAGCAGAGAATTGGGAACTACAATTTTGAGAGAAGGCGGAGGCCTGGGATAGAGGCTACCTTACATGAGCATATAATACCAACAAGACGACATTTTGGCACATGTAGTTAGTCCGAAGTTCAGTCACTGCAACCCTGGAACTGGTTGGCATATACATGGCTAGTAACACTGACAACTAATCAAAGGCCTTTGGACAATCTCTTCTCAAAGTGTTGAATTTTGAGTTGCTGGTTATCTGGCCGCTTTGTAAACTGTCTCCACCTCAGAGTGCACCCAGATAACTGTAATGGTCACTGGTCATTGTGGGGCACCTCCAAGTAATCCTAGCCAGCACAAACGCACCCAAAAATGTTCAAACAGGATATGTGTGAAGTGAAAGATAAAGGTGGAGAAGACCAGGTGACCAGACAAGCCCATACTCTCGCTCAGTGTGCACAATTATGATGACGGACAGTACCAATATATTACTTCACGCGAAGAAATTTCAAAATTATACAATAATAGTTTTAGAAAAAAGTGAATCATGTCGGAATGTGGTTTGGAGATTCAATTATAATATTGTAGATACAAGTGAATAATTACACCTCTATTGTGTGTCGGAAAAATCAGTCAAAATAGGAAAGGGACGGATGTGTCGGGAGCCAAACTGTTATTAGCATTAGAGGTTTTTTTACTGCCGAGAGGAAGTGACAACTGGAAGATTGGGACAGAACACTCGGATATAACGGGGAACTGTTTCAGTTGACTGGGACATCGCTGAAGAAATCGTCCTCGAGCGGAAAAGCACACAAGTTGGTAGAGTCAGCATCGGAGGTGTTAAACTCGGGTTGCTGCTCACAGTCCAGTGGTGGGAGACTGTCTGGGCATTTGGTTCCCCCTCCTGCAGTGCTGCCACTATTTGCCTCCTTCTCTCGCAGCATCTGGTGGGTTTTGGTGTGCTTGTTGAGGTGGTCGCTGCGCATGAACCCCTTCCCGCACTCGACGCACACAAACGTCTTCTCCCCTGTGTGTATCTTGAGGTGTCGCCGTAATTGGTTGTTGACGAGTGAACCCCTTCCCGCAGTCGAGCCAGTGACAGATATATGGGTCGCTCACCCGTGTGCACAAGAATGTGTGCGCGAAGGGTGGGTCGTCTTTCTGTACACCTTGGAGCAGTTGGGATAGTGGCACACGTGCTGTTTCTTAGGCTGGGTAGTGGCCTTGAGTTGGCGCCACTGGCACAGTTGGGGCAGGTGCACCGAAAACTACTGGGGCGCCTCTGCTGAGCAGGAAGGGCTGCATCGAAGAAGTCATTTCCAGTAGGAGCATGGACTGTGGTCCCCCCACTGCCACTGGGACACGAAGGGAAGCTGTCCAGGTGATGGAGTCGAGTCAACGCTGCGGAAGGTTCATGAGAGAGACTGTTCGGAGGAGCGGAGAAGGGAGGAGGAGGGAGGCACGAAGGAGAGATCGGGGAGAGCGGGCGGACGACGCGGTAGGCAGCAGAAGTTCCCGGAGGGTACGTGAAGGAGCCAGCAACGGGTAAGGGCGGGGCTGACCAAGGGGACGGCCCCACTGCTGCAGCGACCGGCGGCATGGAACTGTCGCTACCACTGCCGGCAGCACTCCCGGGAGGTAGCTGAGGATGGTGCTGGGACGTCGGCCACCACTGTTGCGCCGCCGTTTGTTGCGCAGTGGGACTCGCGGCATTGTAGGACTGATACTGCGAGGACGGAGGATTCGCGTACACGACAGCCGTACCGCACGAACCAGGCTGGGTACTGTAAATCTCAGCGTACTGAAGATCGCTGAGACTCCCAGCCGAAGTCGTCAACTCTAGGTGCTGGGTATCCCCCGCAGGTTCAAACGTCGCCGCGTCCTTCAAGCCGACGACGGCATAGTCGTGCTTCTGGCACAGGCCGTCGTGCCGTTGCTGCTGCATACTGCACACCGAGGATAGCTAGCAGCTCCAGAGAAGTCGTGCCATTGTGCTGTAAGACAGAGGGAAAAGCATCAGTTTGCGACACAGCTTTGACAGCAGCCTGATTACACGGCGACAGGGTAATCATTACTACAAGCATGTAGAGATAGCTAGTTTTTTAGAAGTGAAAATGAAATGTCTGGCTCACCACGTCCTCAGTGTATCTCTCCAGGTAGTGCAGAAGTTGGATTTTGCGCCTTTCGCTGTGGGTCCCTAAAAAAATAATACGCTTGGGCGGGCGCGGGGCGCGTGCAGGTCAGGCGCGTGTAGAAATTTGATGCAAAAGAAACATTACACATTATAATTATTTTGTCACATTCATATTTTACAAGTATGCGATGATGCGGAGACAATTGTGTGATGAGTGAGTGAGTGAGTGAGTCAGTGAGTGAGTAGGTGGGTAACTTTATCCCCACAGTCTTCACTGATTACTCCAATATCTGCAGGGAGAGCTTGTGCATTTGTAAGAGACCATGTGTGAGTATTTGAGTGTGAAACAAAGCATGAGTATGTTTGTGTGTGTTGTGCACGTGTGTATAATTACACAGGGAGAGAGTGTGTTTTTTTTTATGTTTAGAGATGGCGTGTGTGTATTTCTGTTTGTGTGTGATGAGTGAGTGAGTGAGTGAGTGAGTAGGTGGGTATGATTTGTGTGTGAAAGGGGGAGAGAGGTTGAATTGACACGTACACTTTGGAAGGACTGGCATTCGCATTACTTTATCCCCACAGTCTTCACTGATTACTCCAATATCTGCAGGGAGAGTGTGTGCATTTGTAAGAGACCCGTGTATTCTCTTGCTTACTATGTCAACCCATTGACAGCCTTTTCAGATCCCATTCCCACCTTGTCATGCACTTTGCAATAATTATTGGAATTATCCCCTACCATCTTTGCACATTTTGATTTCTACAGATTTTGAAGTGCCGATCAATTTTTCTCCCACCCCCTAACCAGTAGAAGTAGTCTTCGACCCCTTCCTCCCCCACATCCCCCACAGTGACAAAAAGGTTTGATTTGTGCATGCAACTTTGTTTACTTATACACTATATGTTTTTTTTCTGTTCTGCAGTGTTTGACCATGGACTATAAACTTTATACTGATGATGATGTTACCCCAGTAGCCTGTAGTAAGCATGTAGCTGTAGTAAGCCATACTTCTGAGTGCTGAGTCACTCCCCTAATCAACACCTTCCTGCATTGTGTTGGAGACACCAGACATATTCTCTCTCTCTGTGCACTTGTTTGTTATCAGTGGCCATGCATAGACATGCCTGCATGAAAATATTACAGCCATAGCCAGTTAGAAATGGACTGCTTCAATTTCTCACAGCCTCTTGGCTCCTCCCTTATGCTCAAATATTGCGCCAGTCACAATACATTATGTATAGAAGCTACATTATGTACCTTAGCTACATTACTATAACTACATGCTATAGAGGAGCTCCTCTAAAGGTGTGGAATGCTTACCCAAACAGTAGTCTTCTGGTGTGTCCTAGTGTGTATATACATTTATCTGCTCAAACTAATCTGTACACTCCCTGAGCAAATTTGCTGAAGGAGGTGGGGCTCGGCAATGTTTACTGTGTGCATGTATTGTGTGAGTGCACTTGTATGCCGGCATACATGCACGTGAATGTGAATCAGCTGATTGCTCCGAGCTCATTCATGTACACTTGTAGCATGCAAAGTAATCTGTAAATCCTGTTGGCCGCAAGGGGAAGGGGCAAGGGAGGTAGAGGGGATGAGACAGAGCTCCTAAAGCAGAGAATTGGGAACTACAATTTTGAGAGAAGGCGGAGGCCTGGGATAGAGGCTACCTTACATGAGCATATAATACCAACAAGACGACATTTTGGCACATGTAGTTAGTCCGAAGTTCAGTCACTGCAACCCTGGAACTGGTTGGCATATACATGGCTAGTAACACTGACAACTAATCAAAGGCCTTTGGACAATCTCTTCTCAAAGTGTTGAATTTTGAGTTGCTGGTTATCTGGCCGCTTTGTAAACTGTCTCCACCTCAGAGTGCACCCAGATAACTGTAATGGTCACTGGTCATTGTGGGGCACCTCCAAGTAATCCTAGCCAGCACAAACGCACCCAAAAATGTTCAAACAGGATATGTGTGAAGTGAAAGATAAAGGTGGAGAAGACCAGGTGACCAGACAAGCCCATACTCTCGCTCAGTGTGCACAATTATGATGACGGACAGTACCAATATATTACTTCACGCGAAGAAATTTCAAAATTATACAATAATAGTTTTAGAAAAAAGTGAATCATGTCGGAATGTGGTTTGGAGATTCAATTATAATATTGTAGATACAAGTGAATAATTACACCTCTATTGTGTGTCGGAAAAATCAGTCAAAATAGGAAAGGGACGGATGTGTCGGGAGCCAAACTGTTATTATATAGCATTAGAGGTTTTTTTACTGCCGAGAGGAAGTGACAACTGGAAGATTGGGACAGAACACTCGGATATAACGGGGAACTGTTTCAGTTGAATGGGACGTCGCTGAAGAAATCGTCCTCGAGCGGAAAAGCACACAAGTTGGTAGAGTCAGCATCGGAGGTGTTAAACTCGGGTTGCTGCTCACAGTCCAGTGGTGGGAGACTGTCTGGGCATTTGGTTCCCCCTCCTGCAGTGCTGCCACTATTTGCCTCCTTCTCTCGCAGCATCTGGTGGGTTTTGGTGTGCTTGTTGAGGTGGTCGCTGCGCATGAACCCCTTCCCGCACTCAACGCACACAAACGTCTTCTCCCCCATGTGTGTCCTGAAGTGTCGCTGTATTACGTCCGAGCGATTGAACCGCTTCCAACAGCCGAGCCAGATACAGATATACGGCCGCTCACCCGTGTGGCAGCGGTAGTGTGCGCGAAGGTGGGACGACCTTCCGTACACCTTGGAGCAGTTGGGATAGTGGCACACGTGCTGTTTCTTTCTTGGAGAGCCGTCCGGGTTAGTGGCCTTGGAGTTGGCGCCACTGGCACAGTTGGGGCAGGTGCACCAACAACGACTGGGGCGCCTCTGCTGAGCAGGAAGGGCTGCATCGAAGAAGTCAGTTCCAGTAGGAGCATGTACTGTGGTCCCCCCACCTCCACTGGGACACGAAGGGAAGCTGTCCAGGTAATGGAGTCGAGTCAACGCTGCGGAAGGTTCATGAGAGAGACTGTTCGGAGGAGCGGAGAAGGGAGGAGGAGGGAGGCACGAAGGAGAGATCGGGGAGAGCGGGCGGACGACGCGGTAGGCAGCAGAAGTTCCCGGAGGGTACGTGAAGGAGCCAGCAACGGGTAAGGGCGGGGCTGACCAAGGGGACGGCCCCACTGCTGCAGCGACCGGCGGCATGGAACTGTCGCTACCACTGCCGGCAGCACTCCCGGGAGGTAGCTGAGGATGGTGCTGGGACGTCGGCCACCACTGTTGCGCCGCCGTTTGTTGCGCAGTGGGACTCGCGGCATTGTAGGACTGATACTGCGAGGACGGAGGATTCGCGTACACGACAGCCGTACCGCACGAACCAGGCTGGGTACTGTAAATCTCAGCGTACTGAAGATCGCTGAGACTCCCAGCCGAAGTCGTCAACTCTAGGTGCTGGGTATCCCCCGCAGGTTCAAACGTCGCCGCGTCCTTCAAGCCGACGACGGCATAGTCGTGCTTCTGGCACAGGCCGTCGTGCCGTTGCTGCTGCATACTGCACACCGAGGATAGCTAGCAGCTCCAGAGAAGTCGTGCCATTGTGCTGTAAGACAGAGGGAAAAGCATCAGTTTGCGACACAGCTTTGACAGCAGCCTGATTACACGGCGACAGGGTAATCATTACTACAAGCATGTAGAGATAGCTAGTTTTTTAGAAGTGAAAATGAAATGTCTGGCTCACCACATCCTCAGTGTATCTCTCCAGGTAGTGCAGAAGTTGGATTTTGCGCCTTTCGCTGTGGGTCCCTAAAAAAATAATACGCGTGGGCGGGCGCGGGGCGCGTGCAGGTCAGGCGCGTGTAGAAATTTGATGCAAAGGAAACATTACACATTATAATTATTTTGTCACATTCATATTTTACAAGTATGCGATGATGCAGAGACAATTGTGTGATGAGTGAGTGAGTCAGTGAGTGAGTAGGTGGGTAACTTTATCCCCACAGTCTTCACTGATTACTCCAATATCTGCAGGGAGAGCTTGTGCATTTGTAAGAGACCGTGTGTGAGTATTTGAGTGTGAAACAAAACATGAGTATGTTTGTGTGTGTTGTGCACGTGTGTATAATTACACAGGGAGAGAGTGTGTTTTTTTTTAATGTTTAGAGATGGCGTGTGTGTATTTCTGTTTGTGTGTGATGAGTGAGTGAGTGAGTGAGTGAGTAGGTGGGTATGATTTGTGTGTGAAAGGGGGAGAGAGAGGTTGAAATGACACGTACACTTGGGAAGGACTGGCATTCGCATTACTTTATCCCCACAGTCTTCACTGATTACCCCAATATCTGCAGGGAGAGTGTGTGCATTTGTAAGAGACCCGTGTATTCTCTTGCTTACTATGTCAACCCATTGACAGCCTTTTCAGATCCCATTCCCACCTTGTCATGCACTTTGCAATAATTATTGGAATTATCCCCTACCATCTTTGCACATTTTGATTTCTACAGATTTTGAAGTGCCGATCAATTTTTCTCCCACCCCCTAACCAGTAGAAGTAGTCTTCGACCCCTTCCTCCCCCACATCCCCCACAGTGACAAAAAGGTTTGATTTGTGCATGCAACTTTGTTTACTTATACACTATATGTTTTTTTTTCTGTTCTGCAGTGTTTGACCATGGACTATAAACTTTATACTGATGATGATGTTACCCCAGTAGCCTGTAGTAAGCATGTAGCTGTAGTAAGCCATACTTCTGAGTGCTGAGTCACTCCCCTAATCAACACCTTCCTGCATTGTGTTGGAGACACCAGACATATTCTCTCTCTCTGTGCACTTGTTTGTTATCAGTGGCCATGCATAGACATGCCTGCATGAAAATATTACAGCCATAGCCAGTTAGAAATGGACTGCTTCAATTTCTCACAGCCTCTTGGCTCCTCCCTTATGCTCAAATATTGCGCCAGTCACAATACATTATGTATAGAAGCTACATTATGTACCTTAGCTACATTACTATAAGTACATGCTATAGAGGAGCTTCTCTAAAGGTGTGGAATGCTTACCCAAACAGTAGTCTTCTGGTGTGTCCTAGTGTGTATATACATTTATCTGCTCAAACTAATCTGTACACTCCCTGAGCAAATTTGCTGAAGGAGGTGGGGCTCGGCAATGTTTACTGTGTGCATGTATTGTGTGAGTGCACTTGTATGCCGGCATACATGCACGTGAATGTGAATCAGCTGATTGCTCCGAGCTCATTCATGTACACTTGTAGCATGCAAAGTAATCTGTAAATCCTGTTGGCCGCAAGGGGAAGGGGCAAGGGAGGTAGAGGGGATGAGACAGAGCTCCTAAAGCAGAGAATTGGGAACTACAATTTTGAGAGAAGGCGGAGGCCTGGGATAGAGGCTACCTTACATGAGCATATAATACCAACAAGACGACATTTTGGCACATGTAGTTAGTCGGAAGTTCAGTCACTGCAACCCTGGAACTGGTTGGCATATACATGGCTAGTAACACTGACAACTAATCAAAGGCCTTTGGACAATCTCTTCTCAAAGTGTTGAATTCTGAGTTGCTGGTTATCTGGCTGCCTTTGTAAACTGTCTCCACCTCAGAGTGCACACAGATAACTGTAATGGTCACTGGCCATTGTGGGGCACCTCCAAGTAATCCTAGCCAGCACCAACCCACCCAAAAATGTTCAAACAGGATATGTGTGAAATGAAAGATAAAGGTTCAGGTGACCAGAAAAGCCAACCATCCTCATACTCTCGCTCAGTGTGCACAATTATGATGATGGACAGTACCATTGTTTATATTTACTCAAGTCACTCATTGTCTGCATGCACAGGTGTGTACTCTAATCAATGTACACATAGCCAGTAGCTGCAATATATTACTTACACGCGAAGAAATTTCAAAATTATCTATAGTTACAATAGAAAAAAGTGCAGTGAATCATGTCGGAATGTGGTTTGGAGATTCAATTATAATATTGTAGATACAAGTGAATAATTACACCTCTATTGTGTGTCGGAAAAATCAGTCAAAATAGGAAAGGGACGGATGTGTCGGGAGCCAAACTGTTATTAGCATTAGAGGTTTTTTTACTGCCGAGAGGAAGTGACAACTGGAAGATTGGGACAGAACACTCGGATATAACGGGGAACTGTTTCAGTTGACTGGGACATCGCTGAAGAAATCGTCCTCGAGCGGAAAAGCACACAAGTTGGTAGAGTCAGCATCGGAGGTGTTAAACTCGGGTTGCTGCTCACAGTCCAGTGGTGGGAGACTGTCTGGGCATTTGGTTCCCCCTCCTGCAGTGCTGCCACTATTTGCCTCCTTCTCTCGCAGCATCTGGTGGGTTTTGGTGTGCTTGTTGAGGTGGTCGCTGCGCATGAACCCCTTCCCGCACTCGACGCACACAAACGTCTTCTCCCCTGTGTGTATCTTGAGGTGTCGCCGTAATTGGTTGTTGACAGTGAACCCCTTCCCGCAGTCGAGCCAGTGACAGATATATGGTCGCTCACCCGTGTGCACAAGAATGTGTGCGCGAAGGGTGGTCGTCTTTCTGTACACCTTGGAGCAGTTGGGATAGTGGCACACGTGCTGTTTCTTAGTGGCCTTGAAGTTGGCGCCACTGGCACAGTTGGGGCAGGTGCACAGAAAACGTCTGGGGCGCCTCTGCTGAGCAGGAAGGGCTGCATCGAAGAAGTCAGTTCCAGTAGGAGCATGTACTGTGGTCCCCCCACCGCCACTGGGACACGAAGGGAAGCTGTCCAGGTGATGGAGTCGAGTCAACGCTGCGGAAGGTTCATGAGAGAGACTGTTCGGAGGAGCGGAGAAGGGAGGAGGAGGGAGGCACGAAGGAGAGATCGGGGAGAGCGGGCGGACGACGCGGTAGGCAGCAGAAGTTCCCGGAGGGTACGTGAAGGAGCCAGCAACGGGTAAGGGCGGGGCTGACCAAGGGGACGGCCCCACTGCTGCAGCGACCGGTGGCATGGAACTGTCGCTACCACTGCCGGCAGCACTCCCTGGAGGTAGCTGAGGATGGTGGTGGCACGTCGGCCACCACTGTTGCGCCGCCATTTGTTGCGCAGTGGGACTCGCGGAACCGCCTGCAGAGTCCGCGGAGAAATGGCAAGGGGATGCGAAGTTGTTCCCGCCGTTGCAGGCCGGAGAATGCGCCTCGTTCGTTTGTATCAGTGGTGGTGGTAGGCCTGGACAAGTATTAGGTGAGGAGATGCTCGGTTGACAGACTGCGGCCGAAACGAGCGCCGGGGGTGCAAGGGAGTGTGGAACTACTCCTTGCAAGTGATGAACCGTCGGTTGCACATAATGTCGTGTGGTCGGGTCGCCGTTTAGAAGTGAGCTAGCCGTGTTCTCGGAGATTCCGCCGCTTAGGCTCACGTCCGTCTCATGTACGCTTGGAGACAGCACACCGCTAACCGAGGCGCTGTAAGACGGATGGGGGGCGGCAGTCGAGGGAGAGTGAGCGTCGCAGGTGAACTGAAACTTTGAATAAGTGAACGGAGCCGCAGAGTAGGTAGGGGAGTGGAACGTTGCTGCTGAAACGGGAGAAAGTGCTCCCACGAGTGTTTCGCCGCCGGCGGCATTGTAGGACTGATACTGCGAGGACGGAGGATCCGCGTACACGACAGCCGTACCGCACGAACCAGGCTGGGTACTGTAAATCTCAGCGTACTGAAGATCGCTGAGACTCCCTGACGAAGTCGTCAACTCTAGGTGCTGGGTACCCTCCGCAGGTTCAAACGTCGCCGCGTCCTTCAAGCCGACGACGGCATAGTCCTGCTTCTGGAACAGGCCGTCGTGCCGTTGCTGCTGCATACTGCTGCACACCGAGGATAGCAGGGATAGCAGTTCCAGAGAAGTCGTGCCATTGTGCTGTAAGACAGAGGGAAAAGCATCAGTTTGCGACACAGCTTTGACAGCAGCCTGATTACACGGACACAGGGTAATCATTACTACAAGCATGTAGAAATAGCTAGTTTTTTTAGAATGTCTGGCTCACCACGTCCTCAATGTATCTCTCCAGGTAGTAGTATCTAGGCTTCAAAGTTTCCATATACCACCTAGAAGTGAGGCTGCACGAGCCGAAGTCGGATTTTGCGCATTTCGCGTGGGCGGGCGGGGCGCGTGCATGCGCGCGTACATTATATACCCGAATTTTGACAGTCATACCATGCAAATACATTATAATTATTTTGTCACATTCATAATAATTTTACAAGAATGCAATGATGCGGGGACGATTGTGTGATGAGATGAGTGAGTGAGTGAGTAGGTGGGTATGATT